GGGAAAGTACTCCGGTCCGGTGTACTATAAGACCAAGATATGAACGTTAGCCGCGGTAACATTAACCCCTTGCCACCAGAGAGTAACGTTACCAAAAGCACCCTTACCAACGTGATTTCATATGTTTAGTTGTGTCCTAATATTACCACAGTGATAAGAATAAAAAAAAAAAACATACTTACAGTCGGCCAGTATACAAGCCGGGGCAGCGGGGAAGTTGAAGCTACAAAAAAAAAAAGCCATAGGAACAGGCAGTTAACATTCAACTTGTATTAGCCAACAACTAATAAGAAAGTCTAACAAGACAAAGATTGAATTTAACACGTATTTAACTTGAGAGCAGTATTAAGTTATCTTATAATGTTAATGATGCATGTTACACTTCATTTAGGTTACTTAAACATTACTACACAACTAAGCTAGGTTAACAGTAGGCTAACAGTTAGCGAGCTGCTGCCTATGTAAACGTTTGCTAATGTTAATCTATCAAAACACACAGTCTATAGCGTTAATGTTAGCTATTAAGCTACCTATTTAAGTATAATATAATACACCCAATGCTATAAATTAGCTAGCCTACTTACTTAAAACGGAGAGCCGTGGAGAACAGCGGAGCTACGCAGGCAGTCCTGTCCTTCCGATTTCGAATGGAAAATGGAGGGAAAAGTGGCGGTCTGCTTGTGTATGCACATGCGCAGACAGGACAGTATATGTGGTAATTAAATGGTACATAATTTTTTCTAATTACTTTTAAATGAATGAAATGAACTTGTTTTAAACAGTGACAAAATATGTTGAGATTAATTAAAAAAGATAAGAAGGATGCTATAACACATTCAAATCTATTAAAAAAGGCTAGATTAAAACATGTAACATCTAAAAGGGGTCAGAATCAGTTTTTTCAGTGTACGCAAAATGTGCTTAGTTACTGCTTAGTTACTGAGGAACTACTAGATAGTTAATGGTTAGTTAATGAGTAGTTCCTCAGGGACTGCGATTGAGGAACTGATGGTTAGTTACTGGTAAACAGACTGGGGGGTACTGCATTAACGAATCATTCGTTAATGGTTACTTAATGAGGAGTTCCTGGGAGACTTTGATTGAAGCAATGGTCCGCTGCAGCAGGGCACTTTTAAACCTGCCATCTTCGGCTGGCTTGGGTCCCACACTGGATCAACTGGTGGAGGTGGATCCGACTGTCGTTTTACTGCTTAAGTCATCATTATTTACCTTACCATTACTTAGGCCGTTTGGGTACGGTAAACTCAAGGAACGCAGACAAAAACAGTAGTTACCCATTACCTAATGATTACTTTACCGTTACTAAAACAGTAGTTACCCATTACCTAATGCTTACTTTACCATTCCTTAAGCAGTATGTGTCCCCTCAAGTAAAGTAATGCATCAAAAACAGTAGTTACCCATTACCTAATGCTTACTTTACCATTCATTAAGCAGTATGTGTCCCCTCAAGTAAAGTAATGCATCAAAAACAGTAGTTACCCATTACCTAATGCTTACTTTACCATTCCTTAAGCAGTATGTGTCCCCTCAAGTAAAGTAATGCATCAAAAACAGTAGTTACCCATTACCTAATGCTTACTTTACCATTCATTAAGCAGTATGTGTCCCCTCAAGTAAAGTAATGCATCAAAAAACAGTAGTTACCCATTACCTAATGCTTACTTTACCATTACTAAAACAGTAGTTACCCATTAACTAATGATTACCTCACCATTATTTAAGCAGTTTAACAAACAAACAAACCCTGTGCACTCAAGTTTACATTTTTATTTAAACAACAATCCAAAGGACACTAATAACAAAAACGAGGTTGCTTTCAGAACTTGTGAAAGTGGCGTATGTCATGCAGCAATCTGCCTAAGGGACCATCTTTGTGTTTATTTGCCAGCCAATGTGTCCACTCGATCAAAGCAAGATGACTCTTCAGAGTCTTCACTGTGCGGTTTCCTCGCAGTCTCCAGACCTGTGACTTGTAAGTTGACCAAGCCCGCTCAATGTTTTGGGTGTGGGTTCACAAATGAACGGCTGTGGTTCACAAATGAACGGCTGTGGTTCACAGAGAAATGGACAAAGCCACTTTCTGCGATTGCAGTGATGTATGCCCTCCACATGTCCGTTATCACCGTGGTCCCTTGGCGAACGTATTTTGTGACCAGAGGAATTAAGTGGCGCCTTGATCTTTGTTTCACCAGCCTCAGGATAGGTCTTCTCCTTGTTCCTCTGATGCCCAGCATACCAAAGACCCATGTTCTCCTCCTCCACGTAGGACCGAATCTTCCCCTACCATACTGTAATAAAGCAGTGAAAAAGGACAACAAAATTATATAAAAATAAACATCAGTCAAATGTGTTTGTTATATGCGTTCTTTTACAATTTAAAAATATTCACTTCCTTTCTCAAAAAAGAAGAGAAAAATATTAAAATGTAGTGGTACAAACAGAAAAGGCTGTTTAATTTTATTAAGTTAAAGTTTGCTTATTTTGCTGCAAGAAACATGAAAAGGTAAGATAGATATTGGAATTAGATGATATATAAATAGATTAAGCACTTTTAAAATGTTAGTCATAAAATGTAAGAATATGGATTTATTTCCTTATTGATTAATGATCTGATTGGATGAGATACTTCTTAGCTTCTAAATTCTTTTTTTCTGTTATTTGACTGTGTATACACTGTGGAGCTGGCTCTCTCTAATGTATACTCTGTCTTGGAAGCCTAAGCACGCCAGTCATAAGGGTGTGAATGACACAATTATAAAATGACATTACTTTGCTCAGTCATTTGTTAATCTCTGACCTTAAAAGATATGTTATTATTTCACCTTGAAAAACAAAGTTTTAGTTTTAGTGAGGCCAAAGGCTAAGGCTCTGTAGTTTATACACACCTTCCTTTTGTGGTAGAAGTTGCTTTCGTCCAGCATGACAAATTCGTTTGGTCCTCCAAGTCTCTGCTTTCCCCTCCTTTCTCTCCTCCTGATTGCACTCTTGCAGACCTTCCTCAACTTCTGGCTAATTGTTGACAGCGTGCGACTGCTTCCTGCCACGTCATCCTGCAGCATGTCAATTTGCAGTCCCTGGGAAAATCTGTTAAAGATCAATATAAAATTACTAAATATGAACAAAAACATATGAAGACGAACGCATTCAGCACCAGTGGCTAATGTATTAATTATATAATTCACATTAGACATTTGTTATTACTCAAAATGAAACAGAATATTTTGATGTTGCTAATTAATTTTATCTATCAAGTTTCCCTATATCAGAGCATCTACGCATGTATTTTTAAGCTATTAGAATAATCACACATTTAAACATTCTGAACCCATTTTTTTGTTGAGGAACATTTTGAATGCAGGAATTTTACTGTAACAGAGTATTCGTACACTCTAGTACTTCTACTTTTACTCTAGTACAAGATCTGAGTACTTCTACTCAAGTGCAATATCTGAGTAGTTGTGTTTTACTCAAGTACAATATCTGAGTACTTCTACTTTTAATCAAGTACAAGATCTATACTTATACCACCTCTGTTTATAGCCTATGAAAAAATTAGAAAACGAAGGCTAAAGCTAATGTTAGCAGATAGTGACAATGTATCCTAGTTAGCTAGCTCAACGATTCCTTAAATAATATTGCGACAGAAACATTTTTTTGTTCACATCACGCTCTGCTGCTCCAACAGGGAGCTCTGCTCTGAACACCCGAACGGTAAGGCGATATGGGTCCGTTCTTATTGTGCATCCATGAGTAAAGGTAAAATCTTTATATATACAGTCTATGGGTAAAACGCATGTAGTACTGAACACGTAACATGAACGTGCCGGGCGGCGCGGTCCCGTGGGTTAGATGCGCGTTCATAATGCCGAGGGAAATAACTCTCGAATATTGTCATCAGAGTCCGGCGCAGTTTGTTTGTAGCCTTTATTTAACCAGGTGAAAAATCCCATTGAGATCAACTATCTCTTTTTCAAGGGATACCTGCAGTTCCTGGGGGCTTGGTGTGAAAGCGACGCCAATGTGCCCCGCCACACCTCCAAGCCGCCTGCGTTGTGAATTGCCAAATAACTAGCATTTAGTCCGCTAGCTCAATGCTAACATATAATGGATAACGGAATTGACGCGCTAACTGAAATTAGCATTTAGATATCGGCAATGTTAAACAACAGTCATTCATTTGCTGTGCTCTGAGGAAATGACTGATATTATTGATGAATTAATATTACCTGTAAATGTATTTCATCCAGCTGAACAAGGATAATTTGCTCCTCTCAAACAGGGACACCTCACTGACTTCTTCGTCGTTTTCCCTCTGTGTTTTTTACGTCGGCACTTCCTACAAAAGACCAATCGTAAATTCCTAGTCCTTTTTTCCTGATAAAGAACTTATCTTTGTAACATGACATATCAATAAACAGAGGAAGTCATCGTTAAAACCCGTGCTAAAAATGTAAGACTTACCACTGCAGTCCGTCGACGTTTGAGTGTTTCTCCAGTTTCCTCCTCTTTTTGCAGAGTTTGCATTTCATTTTTCCTTGAAGCAATTCCATTTTCATTAAAAGTCTGTTTGGTGTGCAGTGTCATGATAACCTAAAACCATAGACTACTGTGGCGTTACTACTGCGTTACTGCGGCCCGTCCACAAACCCTAACACCCAGCGTAGTTCAAGATGTGCTGCCGCTGCCGGGCCAGACCGGAAGTTGAAGCACAGCGAACTCCGCCGCGGAGCGCACTAGCGCCCTAGCACCCTGATCCTCATTTCTTGTTCACACGATTCAAACCAATAGTTTTGATGTTTTGAATCAGGTATTTCATCTTACTTGTTAAATTGACAAAGCACAGCTTCTGTATCTTCACTGATATACAATTAAAATATTAAAACCGTAATAAAGTGTTAATGCGCTGCAAATCGGGATCCGGCTGGAGCACTACGCAAGACACGCCCCTTCATAGCATTCACGTGCTACGATTGGCCATGAGCCTGTCACGTGCATCTCGGCTGAAAATGGACATGAGGAGAAGCAAACGAAAGAAGATGGAGTCCCGCAAGCGTTTGTTGTCAGAATGTAAGTATGAATTGAAATTTCTTTTTTATTTGAAAAATTAGTAACACTGCTTCGCGAAATCATCTCAATTGACACATGTATTACACTTTTTGTTCTGTGCTATCTGATTTGAGGTTGCTAGCTAAACCACGAGGACCCACCGTGACACAGTTGTTACATAATAATAATAATAATACATTACATTTATAAAGCCCCTTCCTGGAGCTCAAAGCGCTTACATGACATTTAAATGTTCTGTAAAGTTCCTTATACAGCTTTAGACTTGTTTTTATCTCATAAAGTCCTTAAGTGACACACCCTGAACAGTCTGGTGGGTCATGTGCTGGGCTAACACATGTGACAGAACTAGCTACATTTCAGAGGCTTGTTTTTGGTTGCTAAAGGTACAAATCAAGCCATTTAAGAATTAAAATGCTTACATAACATGTCCTTTGTTACATTTAACCTGTTAACATTTCTTGATCAAATTGATATGAAACAAATTAGATAAAAATCGCTGTGACACTGATGTCACATCGGGACATTAACCTTACACTTTCACAGTAAATCTGGAGTAACACATATGTCACAATTAGAAATATGATTATGATCTGCTCAGTTAATTTAGCTGATCCAATTATATTTAGTTAATATATTCTTTATTCTTCAATTCAAAGAATGTTCAAACAAATTTAAATCAAAAAATCCTCCTCATTCATTAAGTTATAAATAAGAGTTACTTTACCATTAAAGTTCAATGTGACATTGTCAGAAATGTGGTCCATTTAGTCTAAATTATGTTCCCCTTAATTTACACCCAAAAGTAGAAATGGGTCTGGGTTCTTATGGGTTAAATTAGTTAAATTGTTAAATAAGTAAATGACATTAGGGCGCTAGAAACGAGAGTATTTTATTTTAACACAGCATTGTTTTTTGCGTTCAAAATTAAAACAGGCTAACCTTTTAACGCTGATTTGGGTGACTTGTGTAATTCGTGGAGAACCGAAGAGTTTTCGTTTTGGGGGCGTGGGGGGTCCGACTCACAGACTGACGGACAACGGAACGCCGCTCCAGCACTTCAAATATTGCAGTACCCATAAGGATGCCTTATACATGCCGCAGTTTTTGCGTGGCTGTGTCTTTAGTTGTAAGCCCATTGGCGATCTGTTGTTATTAGCATCTGGTTAGCTAGCTAGCTATAAAGAGCTTTTTCTACAACCAGGTGGAAGAGAGCTCTCTCCTGACAGACTGAGAGGCTCAAATAACCTCAGCTCAGTGAGGTTAAGGCACACCTTGATATGATCATTATAGTTATATAAAAAAAAGAGACTAAATGAAAAACAGGTATAAAATACTTTGACAGTAACAAAAACGTTTTTTAAAATAACAAGAATACAGTTTAAAAGGGGAGTGATTTGTAAAATATCCATAAAGAAAAAGAGAAATCTGCTTACAGGTCTGTTTCATATGGGTGTGCACCAGATTGATGCATTTAACTTCAACATTTAAAAACAAATTTGCACACATCTTGTGTCCATATCTTTCTGTTTTGGTGGTCATGCCACAACCGTGTATGCATGCATGCGCGAGTCATGGTAAAATATCTGGATTAAGAGGTTGCTTTTTCTTTGCACAGCATGAAAGAAAGGCGAAATGAATGGGCTGTGATTTTAGTATTTTTAAGCAGAAATTGAGTTCAATAATTTGTACGGCCCTTGGAGAAAGTTGTAAAAATTGAAATGGCCCTTGAGAGAAAAAAGTTCCCCACCCCTGATCTAAATAATAATAAAAACCCTTGATTTGTAACTTAACATCTCTGTCTCCTATTGATCAGAGTATATTATAAAGAATAGCCAGTTAATTGAAGCATTATAGCGCAGGCCTTTGTCAGATGGTATATTACGCTGTTTTTTCTGTTTCGAATAGTTCTCTCTTTTTTCACCATACGTGTGTTTGCATCCCTGAATATAAGTAGGCCTATAATGTTAAACAGAACATGCCGTGATGTCGCTCTGTTCAGAGTGAGACCAGTGTTTCCAAACAACTCCATCTCTGTTGGTCTCTGCACGCTTACATTAACCTGCAGTGTCAGATTTTTCAAAAAAAACAGGGAGAGCAGCTTCTCCAAACTGTTCCATTTAAAGGCTGCTGAGACATGAGGATGCCAGGCTAAAACTTGGCAATATTGATGCGTTATAAATTAGAAACGGAGCAATCTCGATATAGCGTTAAATCCACATTGTGGATCGTCTTATCAGTTATCTCTATTAAACATGATTGGATAAAAGTAGAGCTGATTGCCCAAACCTAACTTCTGTATATAAAGGTACACACCCCAAACACAATAACTAACATTTAAACATTATTTTGAGCAAAGCTACACGACTAGTAATACCTTTACACTACACCAATTCATTACACAATTTTGTATGTAAGGATTACACTACCACTATATAACACTAGTACAAGAATATTATCAATACTAATAAACCCATATCCAAACTGATTTCTGCACTACAGACATCATTAGGATAGGCAACAACAAAGTACTGTTGTTAAATAGTTAAATATTTGTATTTTTTTCTGTTTCAGTCCTGACCCCAGAAGACGCCATAACCCGCTACAAGCGTGTTCTTGAGGCGGTGAACAAGGGCAACAATAAAACGGCGGCTTACAGAGCGGTAGGAGTGGACCGCAAAACCATTGCCGACACTGCAGGAATTGCAGAACTGCATGCTGTGAACCCGGGCATCTTCCAAGATATCCGGGGAACACTGAAGAAGGGGGAAACCCTTCTCCGTTTCTCTGAGATGTGTAAGTCTGCCATAAAGGACCAACATTTAGAGGGGAAGGTCCAGGACTTAAAGACAAATGGAGGACTATTATCCATTAATCCAAAGGGGAAGTGAGGAAGGAATGGATGTTTTTTTGCTTTGCACTTGTTTTTATTTTTTTTTTATAAAAAGTCGTTTTTATTTACATTTTTTTTTTTTTTAAGTTCATCCTTGTTTCAATAAAAATGTAAAACTTCAGTGGCTGTAGATCCGTCATTGTCATCAACAGTGTTTGTTTGTTTGTTTGTTTGTTTGTTAGTTAAACTGCTTAACTAATGGTAAGATAATGGTGAGGTAATCATTAGTTAATGGGTAACTACTGTTTTAGTAATGGTAAAGTAAGCATTAGGTAATGGGTAACTACTGTTTTTGATGCATTACTTTACTTGAGGGGACACATACTGCTTAAGGAATGGTAAAGTAAGCATTAGGTAATGGGTAACTACTGTTTTTGATGCATTACTTTACTTGAGGGGACACATACTGCTTAAGGAATGGTAAAGTAAGCATTAGGTAATGGGTAACTACTGTTTTTGATGCATTACTTTACTTGAGGGGACACATACTGCTTAATGAATGGTAAAGTAAGCATTAGGTAATGGGTAACTACTGTTTTTGATGCATTACTTTACTTGAGGGGACACATACTGCTTAATGAATGGTAAAGTAAGCATTAGGTAATGGGTAACTACTGTTTGTGATGCATTACTTTACTTGAGGGGACACATACTGCTTAATGAATGGTAAAGTAAGCATTAGGTAATGGGTAACTACTGTTTTTGATGCATTACTTTACTTGAGGGGACACATACTGCTTAATGAATGGTAAAGTAAGCATTAGGTAATGGGTAACTACTGTTTTAGTAACGGTAAGGTAATCATTAGGTAATGGGTAACTACTGTTTTTGTTTGCGTTCCTTGAGTTTACCGTACCCAAACGGCCTAAGTCAGGGGTTCCCAACCCCCGGTCCGCGGACCGGTACCGGGCCGCAGAGGTGTTACTGCCGGGCCGCGAAATAGCTGTGAGTTTATCGTAATATTTGCAGAATTATAAATATATAAAAATATTTTATCATAATATTTTTTCAAAAAGTGTTTAATTTTCGCACCTATGCCACCAGTCATATTATTTCATCCAGTAGCTAGTTAATCTTTCACCAGAAAACCGTTGAAAATGGCTTTTATGATGAGGGATTCGGCGGCTCAGCCTTATAAGGTCTCCTCTCGTGCGCACGAGCTTGTTACCGGTGCGCCAAGTAGGAAGAGGAGCGCACAGGAGACAACCGTTTGATTGCAGACTGTTATGTTTATGTGGGGAAATGGTGGTGCATACATTATTTGAGATATATTTCAAACTCGGACTTCATTTTAAGGACATGTCGGCCAGGGGTGTAGAGCTATTTGTTTAAGCACCGGATTGGCAAAACAGAAGAGTAAACCAGTCTGCCTTGATCTATGAATTAATGTCCGGGACTCTCACGATCTGCTGCCCGCAGCTGCTTTATAGAAGGAAACCCTCCTTCACTTCTTAAAACGGCTGCAGCATCCGGAGGCAGCGGGACGTATACTCCGCTTCTGAGAAGTGCAGCACCAGTATGACTGTGTTTAACTTCATCAGAACAGCTTAAGAGTGACTGCAGGCTGCTACGTGTTAACCACACACACCTATACACACACATCTACACACATCGAACTGCCCGATTACTCCCCCTTTTATTAGTTTTATGAAGGAGATGTCCAGTCAGTCACCAAGGCGCATGATGTGTGTGTGTATGTGCTCTGCTCAGCTCAGCTCTGTGTGTTCGGTGTGTTTGTGTCTGTCCGACACCGGCATTTGTTTTCAAATGTTTATGAACAGTAATTTACACACATATGGCTAACTCCATATATGCGGCTGTTCCCAAAATAAATTAGTTTAATCTTAATCTCGATGTAGTGCTAATGCTGTCGGAGTGCACCGGAACGAACGACACTATCATAATATCTTCTGAAAACAAATGCCAGTGTTCATAATGCGGCTTCTCCTCGTTTTCCCAGCATTCACTGGATTATCCGTAAATCATACAAACAAAACCAAAACGTTAATTTATCTGTTTTCCCGTTTTGGTTTAAAAACTGAATAACGTCGGTTTTTTGGTTTTCCGAAAAACCAAAAAATGACACCGGTTCTTTTTTAAACTTTGTTAATATGTTTTGGATGCATATTGTTCTAGTATTTGTTCAGGCTGTTACATACAATTAGCCTCTGTTGCTACCTGCTGGTGGTGAGTAAATATTAAAATCAGTTAAAATTGACAACCGGTCCGCGATTTTTTTTTAATGTATCTGCCGGTCCTTGGCACAATAAAGGTTGGGAACCCCTGGCCTAAGTAATGGTAAGGTAAATAATGATGACTTAAGCAGTAAAACGACAGTCGGATCCACCTCCACCAGTTGATCGAGTGGATGGTATCAGTACTACAAGTAAAAAATAATATATATATATATATATATCTTTTTTTTAAATTAATTACGTTGTTTATAAATTAATCTGAGGGCCGCAAAAAGAGGAGGTGGGGGCCGCCATTTGCCCATCCCTGCTGTAGATCAATGAGTTACAGGAGTCAAGGCGGGAGGAAATGAAGGTAGAATAAGTCGTGCAGCGGGGGGAGGATGTAGATCAGGGGTACTCAAATACAAATCTTAAAGGTCCAAAAAAATGTTTCAATAAGACAAAGGTCCGTTTATTACGGTCATTCAAACTTTTAAACAATTGCAACAAGATTCTTAACACGAGTTTGCAAAAACAAAAATAATCTGTATAAAGCAGTTTTCATTGTTATTGTGTCTGTGCTTGTGTTTTGTTTCAATGCTGAGTACAGCCAAACTTGACAGTCTCTTCTCTGTCATTGTAGACCGCAAATACCTCATTCCTTCAGTACTTGGGTCCGAATCATAGGTCCGAATGCTTCTCGCTTTGCGCCGTACCGTTCAAATGAAATCAGGGCCGGGGGAGGGGTTACAAGACGTGCGTCTTGTGCTGCATTCACTTGCACTCGGACATTAGAGACTTTCTCTCATAAATGTCCGATGAGCCACAACTTTTCTTTCAAAACAAAGCTGCCAACTGGGGTGGCAGCTGGGGTGGCAAGGCCTATTTTTAGGGTGGCAGTTGCCACCCCATGCCACCCCGGTAGGTGAAACTAGGCTACTAGCTACAGTACAGATGCAACTAGATGAGCTGTTAACTCTCGCTCTGACTTTTCTTTTTTAAACACACACGCATATTTCCCACCAGCATTCCGCGAAGACCCGCCCTACTGTGCCTCTGATTCGCAGACTGTTGGTGGGGGGGAAAAACGCTGACGGGATGCTGAATGTGATTGGACCAATGCGTTGACAGACACACACAGACAGTGGAACAGTCGTACATGCAGAGCGCTGTTTGCAGTGGACATAGCGGAGAATTTTGACTCGTCGTTGCGTTGTGGCGATGTCTCACAGATAATACAGATAATACATATGAAAAGTATAATTTGCTCAGAGTCCAGAGACAGTTGTGGTTCGGTCCGGATCCGGACCAGAGTCCGGACTTTGAGGATGCCTGATGTAGATGATGAAGAGGATGGGGCTGAGTACTGATCCCTGGGGAACGCCTTGGGTGACTGAGGCCGTGGCAGAGGAGTGGTTGTGGAGGGAGATGAGGGATCGGTCTTATCAGTCTGATTATCTGAATTCTTTACCTCCGAAAATATTTGATGTCTCTCAAATTGATATATTTTAACGCAGCGTCCACACGGCGGCGTGCGTTGAAGCTTGCCGGTGGGTGTGTCTGAAGCTTGGGGGTTAACGCGACCAACAACCAACCGCCCCGGACATACAAAGCAAAAAAGCCCGCTTCTCCACTATGGCCAAAATGGATGCTGGTTTGGTAGCAAGGGTGGCTTTGGTTTATGCAATGTATGCAATGTATCGCAGGAGGCGACATGGTGTGCGTTGCTGTTGGGTACATTCAATAATTAAAAAATGTCAGCAATGGGGGGAATACCACGTTCTGGTCCAAAAGCTCCGTCTGGATGACGTACTGTTTCAGCAGTACTTCAAGATGAGCAAAGACCATTTCGACGAGTTGCTCGGCAAAGTGGGTCCACTGATTACAAAGGCGGACACCAGTATGCGTTTGTCAATCGGACCCGCCGAGCGACTCGCCATCTGCCTACGGTAAGTTTTGTGTATTTCTACTTCTTTAATCTGACTCTGTATAGAAAGAGAGAGAATGCATGCCATGGATGAATGATGAATGAAGTCTGTGATTTAGTTCAGATGGATAACATTAATTAAGATAGCTAGGTAAACACAGTCTTGCTCCCCTGTGTACATGGCATATGTGTGGGAAAGACAATACAAAGGTGTGTGTGTGTGTGTGTGTGTGTGGTGTGTGTGTGTGTGTGTGTGTGTGTGTGTGTGTGTGTGTGTGTGTGTGTGTGTGTGTGTGTGTGTGTGTGTGTGTGTGTGTGTGTGTGTGTGTGTGTGGGGTCTGTGTGTGTGTGGGGGGTCTGTGTGTGTGGGGGGGGGTCTGCAATTGTGTTTTTTTTAAATGTCATGTATATTACTTTTTTCTCAGGTACCTGGCAACCGGTGACTCATATAAGCAGTGCTTGAATTGGAATAAAAAAGATGCCAGTACTCTAAATCAGCAACTGTTTCAAGTCAATTTATTTATACAGCCCAAAAACAAGTATTTGGCTCAAAGTCATAAGGCGCGTTGACACCAGAGTACTTTGGAGTACTTTTCCCACAATAGTTCATCAGAACTACGATATATTTGCGTTCACACCAAAAAGCCCCAGGAACTAAAGTAGTTCAAATTAGTTCGTCCGACCTGCTTTTCAGTCCCTGCTAGAGAGCAGGGACTGTTGTGGGAGAAAATAGTTTGTACGTCTGATTGGCTGTGCGGAATGCAAACCACGCCCGTTTGACTCTGAATTTTTTTTTGTAAGCGGCCATTGTATTTGCTCGCTTCGGGCAGCGCACCCGAAGAGATTACTTTTGTGAAAGCAGTTATTATAGCAACACTAAATAAATCATCGGAGCGGTGGAGTGATGAGGATGTGTCGGCGCTTCTGGCGATTTACTCGGAGGACGCGAAGCGCCGCATTCAGAAGCTTCTACTGAATGCAGTTTCCGTGGCTCAGCAAAGTTAGCAGACCTGGCAAAGTCATGTCGGGACGACTACGAAGGTAAAATAAAATACAGGCACTGCAC